TCATCCCATATCAGTTTCCAATTGTCTCGATCTTCCGCTACTTTTACTGATTGTGATAGCGTCTTGCCTGCCGGTTTTGCAATAACATCTATCAAATCTGGTTGATTATTAGAATCTGCAGGAGGATTGATAAATTAGTTCTTTTCTAAGTCTAAGATATTCTTAGAACTCAACGCCGGCAATACATCTTAAGATCATCAATGCTATTTTTGTCAGTTTATTTTAATTTTCAACATTCAGATGCATATAGATATTCTTTTTGTTTTCTTTTTCAGCCTTAAATAATCCATTTTTCGACATAGGCCTTCCTCAAATTAATCCAGTGTTTTTATTTTGCGCCACTTGCTTCCAGTTTTATCCTCCGATTTTCTTAATATTATCAGCCCATCATATTTGTAATCTTCTCTTTCTTCTCTGCTTCTTTTTCCTAACCATGGTCTTCACTAATGTATTTTGTGGTTCCTTCTTGTGTCCTAAGAAGCTTCATTTTAATATGGCAGCATATTCTCTTGCTTCTTTTACTTTGGTTTTGCTTTTAATCCATTTGTTTGTTTCTTTGTCTATTTCTAGATCCTGTTTGTGGCTAAGTTTCACTCCGAGCATTGATCCTTCCATCGCTCTTTGTGCCTTTACTATTTTATCCAGATGAGACTTGGTGAATGTCCACGTCTGTGAGTATAGGAAGGATACACTGATCGTAAATTCTGGTTTTCAAATATTGTTCTATTTTAGTGCTTTTCAAGATCCAACTAAGTTTTTCAAATCCTTCCACGCAAACCTTATTCGTCTGGTAATTTCGGCAGTTTGATTTTCTTTGTTAACTTTCATTATCTATCCTAGGTAGACGTATTCGCTTACTGTTTCTAAATGTATGCTGTATTTCTCTAATGTTCGGTATATTTTTTATTATTTTTAATTTTTCCAAGTTCATCTTAACACCTACTTTTTCTAAAGCTTAAAATAGTTGCGTTATCATGGTCTTTAAAACTTCTCTTCCATTGACTTGTTCTTCCATTAACATTTATTTCTTTATCTGCCCAGTTACTGTCTTTAAACACGTCTTCTAGTCCAAGTGTGAATAGCTTTGGTGAGATATCTTCCTGGCGAACTCCTCAGTTGATTGGTATAGCTTTAGTTTTCGCATCTATTTGTATTTTCATTGTAGCTTTCTTGTAAATATTATGTATATGAGGAATTCTACAAAAATTCGCACCTTAACTGGAGCCAAATATGGTGATATTGCAATTTGCTGCTCGTACCCCACAGTAACAATTTTTTTCTATAGGTTGATACCAAAAACATGTTTTCAGGTGCGAGCCTAAAAAAAGGCAAATTTAAGGTTTTTCCGACAAAAAACTGATGTGTTCGCTAAAGCTATTTTATTCTTCTAGCGATCTGCCTCGAAAAACGAGTGAAAGAGAATTCTATACTTGGAGCAGACGTACATATCAGGTACCAATCGCTTCGTGTTGGTCTCCAGAAGGAACTCTGACCCTTTGAAGAGCCAAGAAACGCATGCTCAAAGCGTGGCAAGCGGTTATTCAGTCACTAAAATTTTTTTTCACTTTTTCGCGATTTTACCCGAAAATAGATTAAAAAATATCTCTATAGTTGGAACACACATACATATTAGGTACCAATCGCTTTGTCTTGCTTCCCAGAATGAACTATGACCCTTTGAAGAACAAAAAAAGCTCAAAGCATGAAAAACGGTTATTCAGTCCCTAAAATCGACGTTTTTTTCATTTTTTCGAAATTTTACCCGGAAATAGATTAAATGATACCTCTATAGTTGGACCACACGTACATATCAGGTATTAATCGCTTCGTCTTGACCCCCAGAAGGAACTCTAACCCTTTAAAGAACCAAGAAACACCTGCTCAAAGCGTGGCTAGCGGTTATTCAGTCACTAAAATCCGCTTTTTTTAAATTTTTTCGCGATTTTATCCGAAAATAGATTAAAAAAGACCTATATAGTTTGAGCACACGTACATATCAGGTACCAATCGCTTCGTCTTGGTCCTCAGAAGGAACTCTGACCCTTTGAAGAACCAATGAATATTATTCAGTTATTCAGTCCCTAAAATCGACGTTTCTTTCATTTTTTCGCGATTTTACCGGAAAATCAAGTTAAAATGACTTTCATTAGACAACTGAGTTTTCCAAAAGCGATTGTATCGTTGTAGTTTATGATCAATGGTACGCAGGGGTAGTTGAAGAGGTAAACAACGAACATCTTGTAACAAAATTTCTCTTAACTACAAAAAATGGCTTTTGTATTTTGAATCGACCAAAGCATACACAAAACGTTTTATCAACTCAAGTTTTATGTAAAATAGAATCGCCAGAACTAACTAAATTTAGAAATAAAATAATGTTCAATATCAGTGAAAATCAGAAAAAAATTATTGAAAATAATGTAAAAAATAATATAATTATATGATATATTTGGATAATTTATATGATTAATATAATTTCTTTTTGAATCAAAAACAGTATTAAAATTTTGTTTATTTCATATTATTTGAGCTTTAATATTTATTGTTTCTGTTAAACACAAGATTATTTAATATTCTATGCCAACTTCTTTTTTATAGTGTTTAAGTAATGAAGAATAAATATATTTATACCATTGTTAAATAGTATCTATCAATAATAAAAAATTTAGAATATTTTTGTTGTATTGTATTCTATGTATTTATTTTTTTTTCTTTGACTAACTTTTATCTAGTTACATATTACAATTACAATAACAGCTATATTACAATTTACTATCTATAATTTGATGACGGATCAGGCTATAGGTTATTCCACGAATATACGACTGTTTGGAATTATTGCTACAACGAATATTTTACTGTACAAGTAGAAGTATGAAAGTAAATTGGTCTAAATATTAATCCATAAAAAAAGGATCATCTGTTACTATTACTTATAAACTAAAATTATTTCAGTTAGTAGATGTTCAGATAGACGCAAAATTTATTGTGAAAATTAATCCGAAAATAACAAAAAAATTTACGTAAACGCTCCTACGAATAAATACAATGACCTCTATGAAGTTAAAATGTGTTCATCAGCCATTTAGGTTGGATTTCGGTGAAATGTAAACACCAAAGAGGCGCGCCGGGTATCTTTATTACTTTATTAGGCAACGGTAATAAAAAGAAATATAATATTTTTAATATAAATAAAAAGAAATTGGCAGAACGATGGTTCAGAAACCAGGAAAAGAATCTAGTGTTCCACTTTGTTAGTTTTTTGTTTGCTTTGGGTGGATATACTCTTAAAAGTTCCGAAAGTAACAGGTATAACATGGCGGCTATTGATAGTTAAAGTACCGAGTCATTACAGATATTAAAAAGTAACGAAAATTTACATACAGTTTCATAAATCTCCGACTGATTTTAGTTTTAAAAACAGTTCATATAGAGGTGTCCGGTGAAGAGACGTGTCCGTTAAGACGTGTAGTGTATTTGTTTGTAATGGTGATTAGGAGAATAAAAGTAAGAGTAAGTTTTTTTGTTTTTTTTTAATACTAATTGAATATTCGACTAAATAAATTAAACTATTTAATCACTTAAGTATTGTTACACTTCGTTTAAATCACTTAATTCAAAAACCAACTTGTTTACAATACTAAAGTCAATGAGAGTAATTATACGAGTATACTTCAAAATCTGAATTACAACTATTCTATAAACTATCAATTCTATATTTAGATCATAACTTCATATTTAAATCTAAGGTGTATATCTGTCATAACAGTATTTTAAAAATGGGGAGAATTTACCATTGTACAATTCAGCACATTGGACCATTTAAGTCGGCACCTTAAAGCGAATTTAAAACAGTCGTATATTCGTGGAATGGAGTATACATACTGGGGATCAAGTCACCAGCTTCTGATAGGTAGATGAACCTCACTTACGGAAGTCATTTTAACTTGATTTTCCGGTAAAATCGCGAAAAAACGTCGGTTTTAGGGACTGAGTAACCGCTTACCACGCTTTGAGCAGGTGTTTCTTGGTTTCTTGGTTCTTCAAAGGGTTAGAATTCATTCTGGGGATCAAGACGAAGCGATTGGTACCTAATATGTATGTGTGCTCCAACTACAGTGTCACCTCGGGGTAAATGGAAAGGGTCTTGCCACCTTCTGTACCACTGTGTGCTCTGTAGAGGGGCTTCGGAAACATCGTGATCGAACATCGTCATCGAGATGAAACTCTACTTTTGTCCATTTTCAGGGTATGAACTCGTAAATGTTTTCTTCTGGTATCTTGCCTCGAAAAAGGCAAGATATTTCTTACATGACAAAGGTTAAGTCGAAATAAAAATACCAGATTGCAGTAGAATAACATCTCAGCCACAGAGTATGGATAAAGCTAAAAACAAGAGCAGAGCCCCGAGAGCACTAAGCTCTCGGAGAGCCCGTGAGGGACTGAACTGATTGACCTGAAAATCGCCTATTTTTATACTTCCTGAAGTAGCGATTAGGGATTTCCAGGTCAGGGAGGGGCCAACGAGAAATAAGGGGCGGGGCGATGCGTCTCGAACGTGAACTAGTCGCGTCCGAGAACAGAGGTATCTTCTAATCTATTTTCGGGTAAAATTGCAAAAAAAAATGTCAATTTTAGTGACTGAATAACCGCTTGTCATGCTTTGAGCAGGTGTTTCTTGGCTCTTCAAAGGCTCAGAGTTTCTTCTGGAGACCAAGACGAAGCGATTGGTACCTGATATGTACGTGTGCTCCAAGTATAGAAGTCTCTTTCAATCGTTTTTCGCGGCAGATCGCTAGAAGAATGAAATAGCTTCAGCGAACAAATCAGTTTTTTGTTGGAAAAACCTTAAATTTGCCTTTTTTTTGAGGCTCGCACCTGAAAACATGTTTTTTGGTATCAACCTACAGAAAAAAATTGTTACTGCGGGACACGGACAGCAAATTACAATATCACCATATTTGGCTCCAGTTAAGGTGCGAATTTTTGTAGAATTCCTCATATGAATTCTGTATCGGGAGTCTATCCTGCAGTTGTTCATTCTCTCTATTGGCCAAAGTTCTATGGAGTCGAATACCTTTTTATAATCAACGAAGCCAATGTATAGGTTCAGATGATATTCATTGGTTTTTTCTATTAGCGTTCTGACTGTAAGAAGATGATCCGCTTTACTGTAACCTTTTGGGAATCCTGCCTGCTCTTCCGGTTGATAACTATCGAGCTTCGACGTTAACCTCTTAGTTATTACTCTCATAAACAGATTGTACATTTAAGACAGCAGGGAGATTGGCCTATAGTTCTTTAAACCTCTCCTGTCTTCTTTTTTGAAAAGAAGTATTGTCAAACTTTCATTTCAATCATCTGGGACTTTTCCTCTGTTAAGACGTTCGTTGATAAAATTTTTCAATTCTTCGAGAATAATTTCACTCCCCTCCTTCAACATTTCTACAAATATACCATCTATGCCTGGAGCCGTATTGTTATTTAGTTGTTTTATTTTGAAGGATTCTATGCTAGGGAGTATTTTTGAGTTGACATTCGTTATCTTTCTCTTAAGAGCTTTCTTTGCAGTGTTATCTGGGTTATATCGGTGGGTTTTTGTTTGAGGAATATAAATCACGGTAAAATGTTTTAGTAAATTTTAGGATTTCGTTCTTTTCTCTTATTTCTTTTCCATCTTTATCCTTCAATGAGATTATTATAGGCTTTCCTAAGTTTGATCTTAAGCATTTCAGGCCTCAGTTCTTTTCTATCATTTTTTCTACCTTGTTTTCATTGTAGATTCTTAAATCTTTCTTTACTTCCTTCTTTATGCGTTTACTCAAATATTTAAAATCATCGGTGCTTCCCTTTCCTTCACTTCTAGGTACTTGGAGATATATTCAGTGACAAAGGCATTGGTAGTATATTTTTTGATGTACAGTAGTGAACGTATAATCTTGGCTGATATGCAGTTAACTTTGGTAGTCCAGGGTTGGTAATGTTTTAACTTAATTTTAATTAAAGAAAATGCCCTATTGAAAATACAGATAAGCATATCTAAAAAATCACTGAAATTATAGTCCACGTTCACAGAGATTTCAACCAATTTGAATCTAATTTTAATATACTTTTATGCAATAAACTTATTTTACTATAATATAATATTACGCAAATAAAATCTTCATGACCAGATGTTTGTTTTGGAATCATATTTTATTTATATTCTGGTTGGTCTACACCAAATCAGAATGATGTTTTATATTTATAGCTTCGGACCATCTGTTGTAATTTAATCACAATCACCCAGACTATAAAACCTCTGTATTTACGGGGCATCGATAAAAGTCACAATTTCCTCCTGTCAAAATAATGGATGTTGTTATTAAGTTTAAACGAAACAACGAGCACGTTTTTGATGACTTCGAGCTTCATTTGTTTCGAAAAACAAATAAAGGCCCTTCAAATAAACGTCCAATAGCTGAATGTCATCATCCGGAAAGAAAATGATTACTACTTTATGTTTCATTTTCATTATTATTAAGTTTCTGTATTCCATCTTCTCGTAGAGATTTTACATGTGGAAGTCTGTCATAAAGTATATCATAATGGGTTTTCCATCTTTTAACGATTAAGTGGTCATTACAACTGTCACAACAGAGAGGCTTAAAGGTCGGGGGTAAATTAGTGACGTATCATTCTTTTAGCAACAGAAAGAGGTATCGCTGGTAATCGTGCAACATGACTAGCACGAGATATACGGAAATGTCTCAAAATTTTAACGTAAGTAAATTTTTTGGTTATTACTCTTTTCAGTTTCAAGGAGTGTTGTTTTAATTACTATTAAACTGGGAATAAGCCACAATTAAAGATAAAAATACGTTTATTGACAATTTCCACTTCGAAATGAGTGTTGTTTTGTTCAATATAACTAAACGTAATTTAATTCTTTGGCGCACGGGTTGGGTCTATTCATATTATTTTAATCAAATTCCATTTCAAATTCACTGCTTTCTTCAGAATCTAAGGAATCTTTAACTCCAATGTTAAGTATTACCGGTTCCAGCATTGCATCAGCCATATTATCCAAATTCCACATTTTATTTTCTTCCTTGTGAGTATGACTAACAGCATTTTTCCAATTTTCCGGAGCTACTTTTGATAAGGAATGTTCTAATAATTGTTGTAAGTCTTCTAATTTAAAAGTTTTGTTGTTGCGTCCGACTTCACCTTTTACTTGAGACCATATATTTTCTATCGGATTCGGATCACAGTGGTATGGGGGTAAACGTAAAATAATTACATCACGGTTTAATGCCATTTCATCAATTACATATTTTTTATAAGCTGCTTTATGTTGCCGTACAATAGGTAATAATTCCTTTTTTGTCGAATTCTTCTTGTACTCAATTGCGTGTTTATCCAACCATTCGATTATCTCTCCCTAATGGTAACTAGCATTATCCATGACTATGACAGAATTTTTTGGAATTAAATCCAACATTTGCTCAAAATATTCTTCAAAAACGTCAGCAGTCATTTCCTCGTGGTAATCTTTGGTTGATTTTGAGGCAAAACTTGATAAAACCGTATTTGTTTCCAATATGGGTTATTATGAGTCTGCATCCTTTTCCAACGGGAATATTATTTATTCCAGTAGATACACCTTCGATGAATGCCTGACGGGAACTTTTTACATTTGTATCAACCCATAGATATGGTACAGTATGTACCAAGTGTATCCAAGGGTTTACTCCCTCCACTCTTCTTGGGAGATGAAACAGTTCCTCCTTTTCTTTCTTTTAGGAATCTATAAATTGTTGCTTCTCGAAACCCTGTCATATTTGAACACATGTTAACGATTTCACGAACATTACTTAAAGGGCATTGATGTACAAGTGCATCGTGTACATTTAATATTACATTTTTCTTTCTTAGACTGAAGGCACCTTTAAAACTACACTTAACCGGGATAAAACCTGTTGTCGACGTCATTTTTAAATGCAATTAATAAAATATCGACACCAAAAACGTAGGTAGGTAAGACATGAACAATGTACATCTACAAACTAAATGGAAGATGCAAACAATTTCTAATTTATATTATTGGCATAAGCTGTAATGTGGCATAAAAACTACTTAAACTATCATTAGTGAAGCCTTATCAGTAATTCCAGGTAATCGTTCAAAGAAGGTATTCTTTTTGTGTCAGGCGATAACTTGTATAGAAAACAATAATCACCTTTAAATTACTGTTTACATTAATTTATTTCGTGAAACATTGAATTCTCTCGTTAATCACCCGTGTATAATTAACAGTAATCGTGTGGCATATATACCGACGTTTTTTACGCACAAAAAAGATACAGTGAGATTAGTGGACACTTATTTTACAGCAGATTTTTTAAAAGATAATGAATTGTTGACGGCATCTTAAAATATTATTTCTTTTTATTTATTTTAAAACAAGTATAGGGTGACGCCTTTGGTTTTTTGACCTGTTGAGGATTTGCATACATAATGTGCTATCAATTTGATGGAAAAGGACTATAACAAACTGGATCTAAAAACAAGCAAAAGAAGATTTTTTTAAAAAGAACTACGTCTTCAATTAATAACGAACAATATAAAATAAAGAGCTCAATCTCCTTATTTGGCACGAGATATAGGAGAGCCTGCTACTAAACTCAGTGGTGTTGGACCATTACAAGCACCTGCGGAATTGCAAAATAAAAGGGGGCGTTGTGCTTTTTGTAGAGATCGTAAAACTCGATACATGTGTCATTATTTGCTTGGAACATAACATACCTGTTTGTCGCATATGCAATAATAAAAAACATTTATCTTACCGTAAATTTTAAAAATTTACGGTAAGATAAATGTTTTTATTAGATAATATATCGTTCGGCGAAACAATTGATACACATTAGAGTTTTTCTTGCAGATTTCCCCAATATTTAAGAGTTTACTATTTAACTTATCTGCAAAGATTAAATTTCTTTTCTATATATATATATATATATATATATATATATATATATATATATATATATATATATATTAAATTACCTCACAATAATTTACAAATGTTAAATATCATGTATATTGTATTTAATGTATTTAATTTATAACATGGTTATAAATTAAATTAATTTAATTAACCAAAATAAAATAATTCCAGACTTACGATAAAAGAAGGAAGGAGGAAGATTTTTACATCTACAAAAATTTTTAAACCCCAAATTTGGCTTAATTTTATCCTTACTTTATTGTTGTTTCGCAACATGGAAATCTCCAGACCTTAAATGCAAAACGACCCCGTAAACACTTTATTAAATTTGGCAAGAGCGAAACACCCTTTAACCTCACAATTCCTGAGTTAATATTCTATTTGGCTACTTACCTATTGCAGGTGTATTAACCGGTCGAGCCCTTCAATCTCCTTCTAGTGAATTATAGAGAAGCAATAAGACCATTTCGAGGTGTTAAAGGAATAGTGAAATCTCAAGGTATTGTAGTCCTATAAACCGCTTACGAAAGAAAGTCATGCTGTTAGTTATTTAATGGCAATTTAGATCGTGTTAAAATGTTTTCAAAGGTAAGTGAATAGAAAACGTACGAGATGTAACAAATATATATTGGAATACACAAAAAAGTGATTTATTTCTGTATTTTTAAACTTTAAATGCAAATTATATCTAATCTTTACAAAAGATTTGGAACAAAAAGTTATTGTAAAATATATATAAAAAAAACTTACCAAAACGTAACACGAAGAACTGACATTATTGAATTGACAATTGAAGTAAAAGTTGATGTCTGATATCTCATGGTTAACTGTCATTAATATATAATTATTTTTATATTGGCGTATCGTTGGTGTTTTTGAAACTAACATCCCATTGCAAGAATTTCAATCTTCTGTAGTGTTAACATTAACATAACGTATTTTTTATATAAGGACGAAATATACCAACAAATGGATGGATGAACAATGGGTCAAGTATTTCTAGTATCATTGCTCAACTTGTTTTGAAAAATTTAGAAAAATCTATTATGAGTCGTTTAGATTTAGCATTCTTCTACCGCTATATTTATGACTGCATCTGTGCTTTATTTCAAAAAATAAAATAAACGAAATTTTAGATAATTTTAACAGTTGCCATCCAAAACTAAAGTTTACTATAGAAATTGAACAAAATAATAAAATAAATTTTCTGGATATCACCTTACATCGCATTAATAATACAGTTAAAAGCATGTGGTTTACAAAAGAAACATGGTCTTCACGATATCTTAACTTTAAATCTCATCATCCATTCTCCCATAGAAAGTCTGTAATTATAAGTCTTCCTAATAGATCTATATAACTAACAGACCAACTGCCATGGAAAAAGCAAAAAAATGCCCTTCCAAATATTGCATATCCCGAACATCTATTCGAAACTATTTTTAAATCAAGACAAAGTAAATTCAACAACAATACACATAACAATAAACCCAACAACTAACTAAACT